TGGCATTTGCCATGGTGAGTCTGTGGGAATGTGATATGATCTACTTGCCAGCTCTCCCTATATATATGTATTTCAGCCACTGTCTTCCATACCAAAGGGGCTTTATTCGCTTGGCTTGCTTAATTATGGTACATTTCACAGTCATGGACAACCTGTGCAATAGCATCCACAGTCAAGTCCACCCCCCGGTCCTGAGCTCATCTATCGGTTGCGTCTCTTCCTTGATGGCCTGAAGTGTCATGGCCACATCGACCTAGAAATAGTTCATCCTTCTCTTGCCAGTCCAGATCTATCTGAGCCACTTCAATCCTAGAGGACTGATCCACCTGCTGGTTGTTTCGGTGTTCTTCAGTGGCACAACTCTTGGGTATGTGAAGTATGTTTACACCCATGTTCTCTATCAGCAGCAGTATCTTTCCACATCCAGCAGCCCAGATGAGTTTGCCCCTGCACTGCCAGCTGTGCTTCCATTGCTGTAACCACCCCAGAGGGCATTTGCCACCATCCAGGGGTCAGTGTAGAGGTAGAGCACTGGCTACATCTCTTGTTCAGCAATGCCTAAAGCCAGCTGGATGGCCTTTACTTCTGCAAACTGGCTCAATTCATCCTTTCCTTCAGTAGCTTCTGCAACTCGTCATGCAGAAATCCATACAACAGCCTTCTACCTCCAACGCTTTCCCACATCATACCAGACACTCTGAAGAAAACAATTCTGTCCCGAATGAAACTAAGACACTTTTCTAACAATAGCTCTTTACTCAGACATGAGAAAAGTTCATCTGGGGACCATCCTTAATGCCATTTATTTCTCTGTGATATTGTGACAATGTTTGCAAGACCCTAGCTAATAGCAGAACTAATCAAGTAACTCTAGAAGTAAACAATTTGTATTACTCTGTAATTGTGTTCACAGAGTGGCACGATGTATGTGTTCTGCTAGCATGAGCCCACATTTCTCATTGCAATGCCTGGCACACCCATGTACTCAGGGAGTCTCACACCATCCATGCTGACCCCTCGGAATCCTCAGAACCTTCCCTGTGAGCTCTGCATTTTCCTCCAGGTTGATGGCTTTATCCCATGCAAAATTCTTGCTTAGTTGATACATGGAGCTGAAATCTGAGCAAGGTTAAAGAAGTCCAAAAAATAAAAGCAGATGTAAAAGAATTGGTTTGGATATGTGGTTTTACTCAGTGTTGCCAATTCAGTTTCTATTTTATAACAGGCTTCAGTGATGGATAAATGTTGTATTTTTAGAAAAAGAAAACACTTGCTGGTACAAAGGAAAGCGTATTCCAAGGTCTAATGGAAATTATACTACCTTTTCTTTCTTGATCTACAGAAAGAAATAAAATGAACTTACTCAGGCCTGTTTCTGATAAAAGGAGAAATTGAGAGCAATCACAAAATGGGAGCAAATAGCAGACATTATGAGAAAATACTGGATGGAGCAGCAGTCAATTGCCAGCACGATATTGTAATTGAATATACTAGATCATTGCTTTTGTCTTTAATGAAATGCTGTAAAAAAGGAGTACCTTTTGTCCCTGCTTAAATATTTACAGATGATATTTGGAAGCTGTTATTAGAGTTAAATTAGAAGTGTGCTATTTTCTATCTTGTATGTTTGTATAAACACTCTCAGTTCACATTTTCTATTGAAGGAAGCACAAAAGGTTTCACTTCATAGCGTCTGCAGTCTTTTCAGGTTACATATCTGAGTAGATTTATTTAACTCAAATGAAGAATTACGGAAGCAATTAAATTTCTTCCATGTTTTCATGTCAGTGAAAGGCTTCCAGTTCAGCATTACAATATAGTGTTTGTTTGCATACAGCTAAAATGAGACATTCCATAAAAACAAATATTTGCCATTTTTGACATCAGCGCAAGCATATGATATCTGCTATCAACAGCTGGGAAAGAAATAAATACTAGGGTATTGGAAAAAACTTTTAAACTAAATCCCAGTAGGAGTATACTGCAAGAGCACCAGCTTTACTCAGAATTATATTGATTTTCATCTTTGTCTTTCACTGCCCTAATTCTGCCTTGGTTCATTTGTTTGAATACGTTGACAAATTTACAAGAAAACTGTTCCAGTTATGCACAATGCCTGCCATTAAAATTTACCTTTTGGATTTGTACTTCCTTATGAACAATAACCTAAAGAGCAATGTTTCAACTTGCAAAATGTTGTCAAAAATGCATTTTGCAACGGGTTCCCCATTGACTCATTCTTTGTATCCTGTCATTATAAATGTGAGGCTTTTCTGTCCCTCAGCAAGGATCTGTCTGGCAAGCAAGTTTATTTTCAAAAGCAATAGAAGACATTACTAATAAGAAAAATGACCTGATAGTTCACTGTATCTTTCTTTCTCCTAATGAAAGATCGTTCAGTACAGTGTATTTTGCATTATTTTGCCCAGTCCAGTTTTAAATAACTCATGGGATATAATTCTCTATACTTTCTTGATGAGGTCCATTCTTGTGTATATCTGGTTATTGCAGTCTCATGTTCATGTGTTTTAATTTTTTTATTATTATTACTTTTACTTAAGAGCATACTCAGTTCTGTCTCCGACAAGCTTTTGCGTAGCTGTGCAGAACTTCTCCCAGTGGCTGGGGCTTTTAGTGCTTCACACCGCTATGTCAGAAGAGGAGTTTATGTTTCCTCAATCTGCCTAAGAGGAACTTGGTCTTTGTAGGCTCTGTAGGATTCAGCTGGAACCAGTTAGAGTTTTCAAAGCCTTATGTTTGCACTAAGCTCAGACCAACTGGAGAGCAGGAAAAAGAGGAAGCATATCCTCTTTTTCCTTCTCATTAGTACAGGGCAGCATGTCTGAAATATATCAAACAGCAAAAATATTTGAAATTTATGTAAGAGCCCTTCGAAGATAGAAATAAATTCTGAGTTTATTCTCAACACTAATAAAATGCATGTTTTCCTTTCTTTTACACTCTTTGCTTAGTTGCTAACATGAGGATTCTGGAGGCAATCTAAAGCAGAAGCTGAGAGTGGGATTTGCACCTAAGTTTGACAATACTTCAGACCTTCCTGAATATCTCTGTCCAGGATATCAAACATAAGAACACATGTTATTCTGCAGCTGGACAGACCTTCTGTCTGCAGCATCATGCTATACCAGATTCCAAAGTACTAACATACCCAATGTTGCTAACTTTTCTTTTATCCATTCTTCTTAGGGTTTCTTCTGCATCATTGGTGGGAACTGTGAGATTGTCAGAAATATCTGAAAGGATCAGCAGTCTTTATCATTAATTGTCAAAAATGGGTGAAATTAACATATATTACAGTTTTATGCTAACCATCTTTGTCTCTGTCTATCTTTCCATCTCTGAAAAAATCTACCTATAGTCAGTCCATCTGGAAGAAGTACACTGTCTCAGAAATGAATAAGTGAGATGACCAGGGAGAAAAATTAGTTTTGTTTTTATGTAAGATATCAGTATTTGTAATACTGGCATGTGGCACTTAAATATGGACTGACATCAGTCAACTCTCAGAGATGGGTTTTACAGATGAAAGGCATGAAACAGAAGAAATGTGTTCCTGCATATATATATATGCATAAGGTCACTCCAAAAGTAATGAATGTCACTCCAACACTAATGCTTCCTATTTATTTCCATAAAAAATAAATTAGATAAGTAAATAAATAAAAAAGATCACAGAATCATAGAATGGACTGGGTTGAGAAGGACCACAATGATCAACCTCTAGACAACACCAGACTGTAAGATAGTGCAATTCAAGCCTGTCAGTGGAGCCTCCACAGTTGCTAAGACTCCCAACCTACCCAATCTACTTATTCATTATCATTAACCTCACTGACCTAGAATTAATGTGAATGTCCATCTCAGCCTAGACTTGCGGGTGGCATGAAATTTTACCAGCTGCAGCCCCACCCAGACTGTTCAAGCTAAAACCAAGTGCTCTAACAGCTTGAAACCCCTGGAGAACCATCTGGGTGAGCCAGTCCTTTGGCATGGAAGCATGTAGTGAAGCATTCTGCTTTGTACTGTCAAATGAAAGCTTTGCCCTGAAGAGAAAAATCTCTGAATTAAAACACAGTAATTCTCACTCACAAAGATAAATAGTTTATATAATGGAACTTGTTCTAAAATGCCGAGAGGTGAACAAAATATCCTGCATGGATGAAATGGTGGTTTTAGCTCTGGAGACCCTGGTTCACCCTTGACTCTTAGATGGTGGCTTCAGCATGATGAATGAACTTTTAGGAGAGGCTGAGAAGGAGCTGCTCCAGCTGGTGGAAAGGGACAGGACAGGACCCTCCACTGCCACGTGTGATTTACAAGGGCTGCACATTGGGTTTCACAGCCATGGGAACTGAGGGCTTTTAGGAGCCTTAGCATTAAGTGAAATCATGTTTTAAAACAAGCAATGTTATTCTGTTTTCTTATTTGTTTTTCTCAGTTTCTACTGAGAACCCACAGTTTTCGGTAACCCTGAAATGCTGCCTGGCAAACATGGAGCCAGTGGAGTGGAGTGGAGTGGAGCTGCACTTCAGACAATTCTGTCCTCTAAAGCAATTAAGAACTATTGCTTTGCTTCAGCATTATGTAATGAAGTTTCACAATGAAACCAATTCTGGAGGTTGATAGGAACATTTGGCACAGGTTCCTTATTTCTGACTTTTCTACCTCTTCTGTCCATGGTAAAATTGTGGTCCAATTCAAAGCTATGGGACAAGCAATGTTTAGAACAAGCTGTTCCAGAGCCAAATAAATTACTGGGAGTCTTCCATTGGTTTTGGTAATTCATATTGAGGAGGAACGTTTTGCCAGCAGCTCAGATCAAAGCTGCAGATAGGAGAAAATAAATCTGCTTTCTTTTTTTTTTTTCTTTTTTTTTCTAAGAGCCTCAGAGGAGGAGGCAGCCAGTGCAGAATACAGTACAGACCCTTCCTGTCTTTTCAGAATAACTTATGTCAGTTATTTTTGTTTTACACTTTTAGATATATGTGGGTTTGAACTCAAAGCAAAGATAGAGTCCAAACCTTAGCATGACAGAAAGCGGGCTTTGTATCATATTTGAAAACTCTTCACCAGTCTTCATACTCTCTTGGAACGTAAATTAGGTAAGGTTTCTATCAGTATGCATTATTGGTAATAAGAAAGAATAATTTATATAATTTGTTCAACAATGGTTCTCAAGCAGGAAAGTCTTTATGTATGCATTATATACATGCATAATGTTCTATCCCAAAACAGATGGTACATTTCCCAAGCCTGTTACATATTGCCTGAAGGTGTATTTCTCATTTTTAGATGCGAACTTACCTGGTGAAATGTCATGGAGACGAGAGAGAAGAGATGCAGAAAAGCAGAGAGTTTCCATCCTCCTGCCGACCCAGTGGAACACAATGCTGTAACAGCAAGCGTCTGACTAATTTCACAAAATCGTATATCAAACTGGGAGGGACCCACAGGGATCATGGAGTCCAGCTCCTGGCTGGACCACACAAAAATCAAACCCTAGGTCTGAGAGCGTTGCACAAATGCTTCTTCGGCTCCGACAGGCTCGGACCACAGCCCCGTGCAGCCCGTTCCGTGCCCACCGCCCCCTGGTGCAGCCCCTGTCCCTGACCCCCCTCCCCTGACGCAGCTCCATGCCGTTCCCTCGGGCCCTGTCGCTGTCACACGGAGCAGAGCTCAGCGCTGCCCCTCCGCTCCCAGTGAGCAGCTGCAGCCGCCATCGGGCCTCCCCTCAGCTCCTGTGCTCTGAGCTGAGCACAGCCAGGGGCCTCAGCGCTGCCCGCACATCTCGCCCTCCAGACCCTGCCCCTTCTTGGTTGTGCTCTTGTAGATGCTCTCTGACAGTGATCTATAACGCTCTCTAATATTAATCCATACCCTTTTTATACTGTGGTGCCCCAGACTGCACCCAGTGCTTGAGGTGAGGCTGCACAGCGCAGAGCAGAGCAGAACAACCCCTTCCCTCGCCCAGTGGCAGTGCTGGGCCTGATGTTCCCCACACTTGGCCATTTTGGCTGCCAGAGCCTGCTGCTGACTCACATTCAACTTGCTGTCATCCAGAACCCCCAGCTCCCTTTCCATTTGGCTGCTCTGCAGCCTCTTGTCCTGTATTCCGTACCTTTTTGCAGGTTTGCCCCATTCCAGGTGCAGAATCCAGCACTTGTTCTTGTTGAATTTCATGTGGCTGTTGACTGCTCAGCTCTCCATATCTGCAGTAGGTTTTTTTTTTCCCAGAAAACATCTTTTTCTGCAGAACAGAAACTTTGAGTGAGAAAAGTATCTTCAGTAGTTGCTTACGTATCAAAAGGGAGCTTTGTCTTTTTAAATAATGATAAGTAAATGGCCTATAGTTTTGTTTAGCTCATGGGAATTGCTAGTATAGTTGTGAAGTGCTCATAACACAGTCCTGTCCTCCCCCCCAGCTGTTACAGTTGACTTTCCTTGATAATGTTTCAAATATTCTTCTCCTTCATCTCTGCTCCTAGACGGTACACTTCCTTGCACATACGTGTTGTGATTCCTTTCAGGAGTCTCCAATTATCAGTAGCTGATATGAGAAGTAATTTAATATCACAGTGGCAACATTTTTTTAACTGTTTTTAGGAAACTTATACTGTCTAGGCCTAAAGAAGATGGAAAATATGGCCAAGAAAATTTTTTTGTTTGTTTGTTTTTGGTATTTCTCCAATAAACTGAAGAAACAGAAAGAATCAAATTACAACGTTGTATTTTCAAGTGTGATAGACTTCAAAATTAAGAAAGACTATTGTATTAGCTTGTCAATTGCTTGACTTACTACTGCCTATCTACCTATCTTATCATACATTTTCCTTTAATTTAACAGCCTGAAAATTTGATTTAATTTGTTGTGACCTGCTACTTCTCATTAGAAAATAAATGGTCTTGAAGAGAAACCCTGTCTTGGTGGATAGCACTACAAGATCAAGATCATCTCCGTTCAGGAGGGGGTCAAAATGTTCTTTATTTCTTCACAGTAAAACAGTGAAGTTGTGACTAGAGTCTGCCTTGGACTGGTGCTTCAGTTCAGAATGCCAGCACACGTGAAGAATGCTCTCATTCTGACCATCTGTTGTCACAGGTAAATTGAGAGATGGTAGCACACAACAGTGCATTGTTATAAAGAAAGTTTGTACTGCCTTAGTATTAGAAGTTGAAGGGCTTATAGAATATTTTCTGACCCTGAAAATGTTAACTTTCCTTTCTTTCTTTGGGGGATGTTTTTTTTCCCCAGGTATCTGAAGAAAAAGTGATGATTACAATAAGAGAAATTGCAAGAGATTTTCCAGATCTAGGGTCAGTGGTGACATCCCCATAAATCATGAGTAACCCTAACACAGACAGTCTTAAAGAGGCTTAGTTGTCATAAACATATATACTTAGGTAGAACTGTTCCCGTCATATTTATCTTTCATTCCATAGCTTATAGAAACCAAATTTCTGTCATCGACAATTATTAATCATGCATTTACCCTGCTGAGACATGTAATAAAGCATCAAGTACAGAGTCTGAACATGAGTGAGAGAAAAGGAGAGAAAACAGAGAAAACATAATCCAAATTTTTTAAAGTGAGGGGAAGAAAAATCTCACAGAACATCTGTTCACCACATGTTCATAAATTACAGTGGGATTTTGAACTTTTCTTCTCTCATCTACATGTCACGCAGATTTAATAGTTCATAATTTTACAAAAAACAACGTAATTATGCACCATGCTCAAAAGAACATGTGATCAGCTCCCCAGCAGCACTGCTGCAAGCTGCTCTCTGTTGATGCCCAGCTTGCAGCAGTTCAGCATGTTGTGCCTTCTCAGCCCTTGCATGGGAGGCTCATTATTCATGGCAAGACTGAAGAAAACACCACTGAAATTCAACTCATGAGCCTGGGCCTGAATATGATAACCTTTGACTCTCCAGGGAAATTAACATTTTGTGCTTAGACCACAAAAAATATTGGAATGTAAGATCTTACTGAGAAATACTATTTCTCATTGAGAATGCACCTTTCCCCCATCAGTGTGTTATAGAACAGGTTTTTATTTAGCTTAAATGGAAAAGAATGAACAAAGCAAGTATTACATAGAAGGCGTATTTTGCAAATTTTTTATTTATGGCTGAACTACAGATCAGAATCTAAAAATATGTGCTTCCATCTACTTGACTGAGACAAGTCACTGGTGTACATATGAGTACACGCAGTCAAGTTTCCTCTTGCCATTTACTTCCCATGAAACTGATCCATCTGTGCATAAAATCTATGTACAGATTCCAGGTCTTGGGCTGACTCTGCATCCAAGGGAAACCCTTGCAAATATTTGTTCTGAGATGTGAAAGAGAAGAGGGAATTTAGATGCAGAATTAGGAATAGAAGGAGAAAGACAAGTATCATGAAAGGAAATTGTGCTTTTGTATTGTCTTCATTGTCTCATTTTTAAAATTATCCTCTTCCCTACCAAATAACAACATCTTAAAGAAAGAGAACTTATAAACGTACAAGGATTTTTCCTTTATAACATAGACACAAACAAAAAACATGGATTCCAGCATGCAAGAAGCAAAAGCAAAATATTCAGGAAGCACACTTGCAATAAACAAATTGGAGATTAAAACCATCCCATGTCAACATTCAGATTCGTTAAGACCTCAAACATATAAGCTTTAATGTAGTTGTAATATACAGATTTAGAGTACTCTTCAAGAAAAATATGACTCAGGAGCAGTTGCCAGCATGAGAAGTTTCTGCTTTTTCTTTTCCTGCTGATGATAATTATGATTTAGGGCTCCATATTAAACAAGGAAGGGGCTGCAAACACAGTTTGAAATGTTTCATATTGGTGTTTTAATGAAGATCCCATAGATGCTGTCTTCTTCTACCTAAGTTAATGGATTGATTTAGGTAGAGGTTCTGTAAAATGTAGTAGAAAATCTTGTTGCAGTTAGAAAATCCTAGCAAGAGATTGATTTCTATGTAATAAAATTACTTCATTAAATGAAATCCTTATATTTCTTCTGAACTCTTGAGACAGCTACCAAATTTTATAAAAGGCCATTAAATGTAGTGCACAGCTGGCATTGGCCTGCTGGCAGGAAAAATGACTTTCCCCAGCTGAGTTCTCTGAGAGGTCCAAAGCTGCCACAGAACTGAACAAAGCTCTGTGCACCACAAACTACTAAGGGAAACAAAACACTGCACAGGAGCAGGGGCCACTGACCAATAGACTGAGTCCCCCAAAGCAGGTAAAAAAGAGAATGAAACGTTTGAACAAACTTGTTCAGAATTGCCTTTGTCTGCAGCTTCACAGTTATTTCAAGCACACATGCTTTATTTTTGCACAGGAATTGAGAAAAATTATGAAGTTGGTATGCCTAACCAGCCCAAATTCCAAGTTTACAGATCACTATAACTGCGGAAACTGCTGGTCCATCCTTTTATTTTTCAGAGGTAGAGAAGGTGGAGTTTTTTGAGTATCAACGAGGTGAGATTGTGGCAAGTCTTTCTGCTTCCATCATCATGATTTTTTTTCACCATTCCCTTTGCCTCTGCTGTTGTCAGGTGTGCTGCAGTCCTCTTGTCTTGCAGACTGACTGTCTCCTTGCACTCAGAAAACTCAATTCAAGTAGATATCTTGTGAGTCTGCAAAGATAAATCAATTCCAATGTTTTTCATCCTGGGAAAAAGGAAAGTAGAAATCAGTTACACAGTAAGCATGGAGAAGTTCTGACTCATACCTAATTTGATCTAATCTAAAGTTTATTAAGCTCAGAAGAATTTGACTGGTTTCCTTTTAGCTTTATTTCAGAACAATTGTTCGTGGTGCATGCTGCATCCCTGGGCACTTCATCTCTTTTCATCTTTCATCCATTTTTATTTAAGCCTTTGTTTCTCAGTATGGTGTGATGTGTTGATAAAATAAACTACTTATCTTTGTTGAAATTACTCTTTTTGGTATAAAATGTTGGGTATGGTATGGTATGAAATTGCGCATTACCCAGGGGGAAAAATAAAGAGTCCAAGAACTTTGCAAGATTTTAATTAAAACTGAATCATGGCATAAATGAACAGCTAGAAAACAGTCTGAGAAATTCAGTACTATCCAGTTTTCATGTTAGTTCCTTCAGTTATTTAATTCCAGAGAATGTTTGGAGTAGTCAAACAGGAGATTGATAGCAAACTTCTTGTGAAGAAACTGTTTGCTAGGTAATGTTCATGCCCCCATGAGTGCAGTTGCAAAGGAAGCTCAGAGAATATGCAAGCTCCTGGTACAAATAAATTCTTTTCTCAGGGAGGAAAAATACAGAAGATCTATGGGACAGGAGCCATTTGTTCAGGGAATTGATTTCAAAGAAGAGTACCAAAGCTCAATGATGCTCGTTGGAGACAGAACAGGGTAGAGAGATATTTGCCTTCCTGGATTTAGCTTTGCCTCAGCTTTACCTACATATATGAGAAGTTGTTCATTGTTTGCTTGACTTTTGCAATCAGAGGCTGACCATACACCAGATGATTCCTGTGGCTGCAGGTCAACGTAGCCCTCCTGACAGCGGACAGAAGTATATGACCAGAGGAGATCATACATACTGGAAAAACCATTGAACTGAAGTTTAGA